GGAAAACCAATCAGTGCAAGCAGGGCTGGTTGTTTTAACTTATTCTCCCAGATGAATTTCAGCAGTCTGCTAAATATTATTTATGGCATAAAGAATGTGGTTAATAAAGTGATAAATCCTCCCTGGGCTGTCACCCTCCAGCAGCAGGACCCAGCAGGGGCACATCCCAGCAGCTCAAAGGAACACAAAGCAACAACAGAAAGCAGCAGCAGCACATCAGGCCACGCTTCCCACGTTCCCAGAACCTGAGGAGAAAGGGGCAACCCTCCCCCAGCCCAGATCCCAGCTCTCCCTTCCCCAGGAGCATCACCCCAGCAAAGGGATCAGCTCTGGGATTTGTGCCTTGGCACTTCCAGCAGCTCTGGGCCACTGCTCTCATGAATAACTGATTTGCTTTCCAGGTGAATATTCATGCATTTCCATGGACAAACCCGGCGTGGGCAAAGTAAATCAAGCAAAAGGAGCAGAGGCAGCTCCTGTTTCCAGGAGAGATTCACATTCAGACATCCAGAAGTTCTTTTCCTGCCCTGTGACTCAATTCCTTCAACTCCCAAGTGCTGGGATGAGACACAAGCAGCACCACTCAGATGTCTGACAGGCACAGAACCTGCTGCTGCCAGGCAATTCCTCTGCTGTCATTAAGGACCATCCAAAGCTTTGAGAACACTTGTCTAAAACAGCCTGAAGATTCTTTTTCAACTCAGCAGCACAGGGAATGTGGCTCAAAGCACTTGGAGGAGGCTGAGGATTTCTCTGGAGTGCTGGGCAGGTCCTTTTGTGGGAACAAGCAGAGCCAAGACCTGGAAATTCAGAGCCAAGACCTGGAAATTCAGCCCAGGTGTGTTCCCAGAAGGGCAAGCAGCATCTCCAGAGCCCTGAGCAGCTGTAACGCAAAGCTGTGCCTGCATTCAGCTGCCTTGGCATACAAATAACCTGCTCTTCCTTTTCCATGCTATTTAAAGAAAATCAAGGTCGCTGTGCCCACGTCCCCTGTCTCTGTGTCTCCAGCGTCACCTGCATCTCCTGGGAAGCAATGCCAGGGCTGTCAAAACATGCTGACCACCCCCCTCAGTGCACTGCAGCCACCTCCATCTCCCAGGCACAGGGAACTACCACTTAATTATACCAAACTAATTGGAAGCATTGACATTTTGAAATCAAAAGGAAATGAAATTGCTTTGTGGGGACGGTGGGGACGGGGCTGAGCCCGCTCCAGTGCCCAACCCTTGCCCCTGCAGGACAAACATCCCTGCTTTAAGAGCTCATCAAGCAGCTACAAACCCTCCAGGGTCTTTTCCAAGTGGATATGGAGCCTGGCTGGGCAAGGGGAGCCCCCCCAGCACCCACTGAAAGGGCTCTTGGTGTGCAGGACTGAGCTGCCTGTGCTGTGACACCCCCATGGTCCCTCCAAGGAAAAGCCATTCCTCACCCTGCAGGTTTCCCTGGGCTCATCCTGGAGAGTCCTTGGGTCAGTGGTATTTATTACCCACCATAATTTGTGGTTTATCACAAGCTCTGGTGGGTGTCAAAGGGATCCACAGGCAGAGATGTTGGTGCTCGGTGCTGCTTTCCCCTCCCTCCTGATCCCACCTCTCCCCAGGATTCAGAAGCTTTGCTGCTCCAGGTGTGGAATTCCCTCAGTCCAGAGGGCCAGCACACGAGGCTTGGCAAATAAATCCTTACCTTTGGGCAGAAAAGGCTGGAAAGCCTCTGAAAACCAGGGACTCTGGTGCTTTTTCCTTCTCCCTTGCTCAAACCCTGGCAGCTGAGGCTTTAAACAGAACATGCACGAAATTTTCAGCCTGGTATTTCTGACCTCTCTCTGAATCAAGTTTCCTTGCCATAGTAACAGCTACCCAGAAAAAACAACAACAACAACAAAAATCCACTAGTTCTCTGCTTCTCTCTGCAAATCACCCAGCTGGCCAAAAAAAAAAAAAAAAAAAAAAAAAAAAAAAAAAAAAAAAAAAAAAAAAAAAAAAAAAAAAAAAAAAAAAAAAAAAAAAAAAAAAAAAAAAAAAAAAAAAAAAAAAAAAAAAAAAAAAAAAAAGGCAAAAGCAAAGAGGAAAAGCATCAGGAATAGAAGATAATTAATTGTACCAAGCAAATAAAAAGCAGCAGCAACAGCACTCACAAGCAGCTCGTTTTGCTCCTCCTGGTCCAGAGCATCCTCTGCAGACGCAGTTTGGAGGCTGTGACCGATCTGACCTCCCCACCTCCCTCAGCTTCACCCCTTCCCCCCATCCCAGTCCCCTGAGATCATTTCCACCCTTGTGCCAAGGGCAGTTTCCTGCAGCTGCTGACAGGAGCAGGGCAGGGAGGCTGTGGAAGGGAATATTCCACAGCACCAGCATTTCAGGAGCCTTTGCAGCCACGGGATGGGCAGAGAAGCTGTTTCATTTTTTTTAGCACAGAGAAAGAGCCCAGACCAGCCTTGTGTGTTTTTTTTTTTTCCCCCGTGTGGGCTGAAGAATCAGCAGAACAAGGTAAGATTTGCTCACATCTCAGTGCAGCTCAAGAGCCATAATTTAATCAAAACCCACCTGCAGGACGGAAGGGATGCCCCCTTCCCCCCACCCGAGTCCCAGCAGCATCCTGCATCCCTCCCCTCGCCCCCCAAGGCTTCCTCTGCACAAACAGCTTCTCTTTTGCATGAGCCACAAGCACAGAAGGGCTTTTTCAAGCCCTGCAGCCTCTCTGGTTGTGTTTCCAAAGCTCCTGTCACTCCGTTATTTCGGCTGCATCCCTGTGGAGGGAACGGGAAGAGCCTGGGCCAGATCACAGCTGGGGGGAGGTCACGGCACACCCCCAGCCCTGCCAGGGCCTGGGCTGGGAGAAAGGCTGAAAATACGGGATTTGCGGGGCAGGATGGGGGGAAGGAGAACACAAAAAAGAAATAAATAAGAAGTAAGGGTAAACCCCACCCTTCTGCACAAAAAGTAAGGGGAAACCCATCCTTTTTAAGCCACTTTTTTTTTGGGGGGGGGGGGGGGAACACATACTCAAAGCTTTGATTCTGGTTGCTCTTTAAAAGCCTGACACCGGGAGGGAGCTGTTCCCTTCCAAGGCATCCCCTCCCAAATAACCCACTGACCTCCCTCCCTCCCTCCTGCCGGGGTCGCTGGAGAAGAGCAGATGTACTCACAGCTCCGGGGAAACCGAGTCCAGGCGGAGCATGGCCAGGAACCCGCCGCAACTTCACCCCAAAAAGCCCCGGTGCCCTCCGAGCATCCCTTTCCAGTCGCCTCCAGGGACGCGAGCGGCGCCGGGAGCAGCCGGGGCTGGGAACGCTGCGTGGGAGGGGGAAAAAGGGAAAATCACCATAAATCCAGCGGCGCTGATCTTCCCCCTCTGGAAGATGTAGGACGGTGACGGAGGAGGGTGTTTCCCCATCTGCTCTCCTCCCCGGAGCAGCGGCCGCGTGTGCGTGCGGGCTCCCAGCATCACCAGTCCATACTTAAGCCTTTTATGGCTTTTATGGCACAGGATGTTCTGGAACGGCGGCTCTTCCTCCCCCCCCCCTCACAACCTCCCCCCCGCCCTCCTGGCAGCGCAGACAAAACTCCTGGGAAAGGGAGAGCTGGAAAGCTGGAGCTGCCCCTGGCAGGGGGCTCTGCCCAGGCTGGCTGCCAGGGGATGGACCCCAGGGCTCAGGGAGGGAAGAGCCCATCCCATGGATGTGCCAGCCCACTGTGGGGGGAATCAAAGGCCCCAAATCTCTGCTCCCTGCAGCTCCAGCCGTCCCACGAGGGGCTGGGGGGGGTGCAGAGGCACTGGTGGGATGTAGGACCCTTGGGCCCGTCAGTCGTGCCAGGCTCTCACTTCCCTGACCTGCTCCTCCACAAACCTGTTAAAAGCACGTTCTCCTCCTGCAAGTGTCGCAGAATAAATTTGCAGGAAAGTCATTTCTAAGCAAAAGCCAAAAGAGGAAAAAAAAAAAAGAAAAAAGATCCTTTCAGTGCACCTTCCATCAAACTTCCCAGCTCCTCCCCACAGATCCAGCTGTAGTTCAGCCCTGCAGATGTTTCGAATCCTTCAGGAACTCCCTTGCAGGCGTTTTCTGGAGCTCTGAACGTCCTTGGCACCCCCAGGGAATTCTGCCCGTGCAGCTTTGCCCACTGGCACAGAGTTCTGAGCACCATCACCCCTTGAACCTGAAACTTCCAGAGCTGGGAAAGTCTTGTCTCCACATCAGAGGGGACTCAATTCTCCAGTGGCCACTTCCCTGGAGCAGTGACAGTGCCAGGGGTGACTGGAGGGGGGTTAAAGTTGAGCCTCCCAGTGACCCAGACAAGGTTCATCCCTGCCAGCAGCTCCTGCTGGTTGGGAGAGGCAACTCCTCCAAAGCACCTCCAGTCATAAAACAAGAAAAATGGGGAAATCAACAAGAAGTTGAGTCAAACGACTCTTCATAAAGCAAATCCCCATCCCCTGGCAGCTATTTTAATCTCCTGTTTAGCTTTCCAGTGGGAGGATTCAATTTGTGTTTAAATAAACCCCTCCAGCACGGGGCCAATCGAACACGAAGATCTTCGTTACACTGAGAATCCACTTCTGGAGGAATTTCAGAAGATGCCATCAAACTGGATTTTAACAGGGGGGTTACCAGCAGTCTAGCATCATTGGACACTTAATATCTGTTAGTTATTATTATTTAGCAGAGTGGTTACAGAGCTTCCTGCGAGCTCTGAGCTCCTGCTACAAGCCACAAGTTTAATAAAAAACAAATCACAAAAGGTCTTCTCAAACTACTGGGTGGAGAAAACCCAGTTTTCTGGGGTAGGGAAAGGGAAGGGGGGGATGCAGGATGCAGGCTGGTGTGATTTGCAGGAGGAATTTCTCCATGGAAAG